AAATATAACTGTTGTGTGTGTGTGTGTGTGTGTGTGTGTGTGTGTGTGTGTGTGTGTGTCCCCATACAGACATCATCCCCACACAGGCCCATTCTGCAGTTTCATACTGCCATCTACTGCAGGATGCTTGCTGTGCAAGGCTTATACAGAAAAAAAGTTTGCTTTCATTAAAAAATGTGCTATTTTAAAGATCCAGGCAGGACACAGAGAGTCAGGGCCGTATCCTGCCCTGATGGCTTGTGATACAAAGCTGTGAGCTGGTCTATATCGACAGAGCAAGAGCAGAACAGAAATCCTCCTCATATATATATATATATATATATATATGAAAAAACAGTGCAGGAGAGCCATAAACATATATATAAAAAAAAAATAATCTGGCTTTCTTCTGATGAGGTCAAACGAGTGTTTACGGCTCTCCGGCATTTTTTTTCTTCACAAGAACCCTGTGAGGTAGACCAGGATGAAAAGGCGTGAGTTCAAGAAGACTATCTAGTCCGATGCCTCTCCACCTGGGGGTCCCCAGATGTTCCTGGACTACAACTCCCAGAAATCGTGGCCAGCATGCATAGGGGTGGGATTTCAGTCCAAGAACATTTGGGGACTCAAATTTGGGAAGCCTTGATCAAGGGAGTTTTCAGGGCTGTCCCTAGTTGCAGATCAAACTTCTTACTGCAGTGGCACTGTAACGAGTTCCTTTCACAAAGGAACTTCTCTAGATGAGAAGGATGAAAGCCGGCTTCTCGTTACCGATAAAGGCCAGCTTTTAACACCAAATAAAAGTTGGTCATTGTGGCTTCGAGACAGAGGTTCGCCTGCATTTTGAAATGTCCCTCCACATCAGAGATGGGGCTGCATCTCCACGAGACGCATTTTTACGAAATCCGAACACAGGGCAGCCGGAACAGGATCTTAGAAGGCAGTATCGGCAAATGGGTAGCTCCACCGAGGTTGAGGGCTCAGATCATCGTATTGGGTGTCAAACTGGCTGTATAAAAACATTTATGATGCCCTGTTTCATGGATGTCATATCAGCAATGGGTACAATGGCCACAGAAATCAACTGGGCATCAGATCCTGAAATTACAATTTTTTGTTGTTGTTGCCATGTTGCATCAAGTTGCTTCTGGGTCACGGCGACTCTATGAACGAGCGAGATCCAAAATCTCCTTTCCCTCAACGGCCCGGCTCAGCTCTTGCAAACTTGCGGTTGTGGTTTCCTTTAGGAATTGGTCCATCTCACATGAGTTCTTCCTCTTTTCCTGCTGTTTCCCCACCTTTTCCAGCAGGATGGCCTTTTCCTAGAGAATCCTGCCTCCTCGTGATGTGGCCAAAGTCGGACTGCCTCCGCTTCAACATTTTTGCCTTGCGTGTATATCTTATCAAGAGGATAATAAGCTAACCTGGAGGTCTTGCTTCATGGAAGACAATAACCATCATCCCCATTCCGGAGGAGAGAACCGATGACAAGCTGAGTGGGGCCACTTCCTTCGCTGACCGGATCAGGCCCCCATGCTGTATCGTTGTCCACCGTCAAGATCATTCAATGCCCAAATCACCCGTAGCTTTCTGACTTCATCAGGGTCATCACAGAGAGGGAGAATTCTCTCGGCAGAGAGGAGGACCAGATAGATGACCTTTGAGTTCCCACCCAACTTTGCTGTTCTTTTATTCTGCGGTTCTAAAGATCCAGGCAGGACACAGAGAGTCAGGGCCGTATCCTGCCCTGATGGCTTGTGATACAAAGCTGTGAGCTGGTCTATATCGACAGAGCAAGAGCAGAACAGAAATCCTCCTCATATATATATATATATATATATATATGAAAAAACAGTGCAGGAGAGCCATAAACATATATATAAAAAAAAAATAATCTGGCTTTCTTCTGATGAGGTCAAATGGGTGTTTACGGCTCTCCTGCATTTTTTTTCTTCACAAGAACCCTGTGTGGTAGGCCAGGATGAGAAGGTGTGAGTTCAAGAAGACTATCTAGTCCAATGCCTCTCCACCTGGGGGTCCCCAGATGTTCCTGGACTACAACTCCCAGAAATCGTGGCCAGCATGCATAGGGGTGGGATTTCAGTCCAAGAACATTTGGGGACTCCAATTTGGG